AAAGAAAATGATGATGGTGGCATATGTGCAAAGGTGCTCGACACACTGGATGAATGTAGGGATTGTGATAAGAGATGTAAGAGCCCCCAATAAAAGTATTTTTTTTAATGTTTAGAAAATAATGATGGAAACATATGTACAGATATGGTTGATAAAATTGATATATGGATTGTTCTGAGAGCTGTAAGAGCCCCCAATAAAATGATCTTAAAAACAAAACAAAAACCAGTGAAAACGAGGGAGAGTCCTGCACAAATTTAAGTACGTATATTTGTAGAGTCATTATAGGCTTATGTGAAACCTGGTTACATATCTAGCCAAATTGCTGGCATGATCACCAGAGAGCTATACAGTTTTAGGGCCGATAGGTTTCTAGCTTTAATTTTTAAAATGAAAATCTGTAGACATTAGGAAAATTTTGGAAGGCTTCCGGACCGATTGGGTTTTGCATTATCTAGTCAGTCGCGGCGTGCGACAGAGCAGTGCATGCCGAGCAGCTCCTTTTCCTGAAAACCTGCCTTTGTTGCTGCTGTTCGCATTCGCCGCCCTCGGGTTACATCGGTTCTGACTCAGGGCACCCCCGTGCATGCAGAGTACATGGCTCCATGGGGTTCTCAAGGATGGGGCCTCAAGGGGGACCACAAAGCCTCTTGGCTTGAGTGCCTCTGCATGGAGCCTCACTGCCAGCTCTTTCGCTTGTAGTCAAATGCCAGGGATCCTCACAGTGACATCAGTCCCTTTTAAATAGCCTCAAATATAAACACAGAAGGAGCAAAGACAGCATGCAAAATACAAAGAGAGGCAGCAAAGAGAGACGCCGGTTAGGCATCGCTGTAAAGTGTGGGGCAGAATGAGAGGGGTGAGCTGGGGTCACCTGGGGAGGTGGCAAGGTGACAACTGGCTTCACCCAGGAGGAAGAGCAGACTTCACCTTGTAGTGACTGACGGCATGTTCAATGGTCAGCTCTTGATGAGGTTGGTGCTCCGGGGACTCCCTGCACTTCTCGCACAGAAGGAGGCTGCTCCCTTCACAGAAAAATCTCACCCGCTCCTGGTGAGTCTGGCAGATGTAGCCTTCTCCCAGCACCTTCTCAGAACAGGGGGTCCGGCAGACAGGGCAGGTGGCCGAGCTCTTGAGGTGGGAGGCCAAGCACTCTCCGCAGAAGACGTGTCCACAGTTGGTGACCACAGGCCCCTTCTCCCAGCAAATGGAGCAGAGCCCTTCCTTCCTGCTCTTCTGCAAAGGAACCAGGCCTCCGTCTCACCACACAGCCTCCTACCGGCAGACCTTCCTGCCCTCCTGGGGCCTTGGAAGGCTGCCACACCAGCCCCAGAGAGGACCACTCAAGCCGAGGGAGACAGCCCTGGAGCAGTCAAGAGGGTATAACTCAGCCCTCTCGTATCAGGTAAAGTCCTGCTATTCATTGATGGGTCATTAGCATGGACCATCCAAACCCTGATGCTACACAAGTTTCAGAAATAGCTCATCAGCTTTGGAATACACTCCCCATTTCCTCTTATTCGCTAAACAGGGAATGACTTTGCATTTTATGAAAATGATTCAAGAACCAGTGGTGTTTTCTTGTCAGCGTTTTCTGTGAATATTTGTGCCGCTTATAATTCACGGGCCAGAGTAGCATGGCCCAAACCAGAGTATCACACTCATACGAGTTGAAAGCCTCCTTTGGTGTACTCTCTGTTGAGATGATTTGGCGGGAGTTCAGAATGTCCTCTCCCGAACTGGGATACTGGACGGCTGGTGGTCACACTCTGAGAATTTGGCTAATTGCTGCCAATGATCACTACCAACCATTTGCATCAATGTCTCTGGCAACTAGTCTTCCCTCCAACTAGCTTCTGTTCCAGGCCCTCACGGATTCCACGAGAGGGAAGAGTCGAGAGAACAGGACACAGAGCCAACCAGAGATATGTGTACAGGATGACATCATCTTGTTCTTTCCTTTCAAGCCACTTTCAAAGATGACCGAGCCCCCCCAAAAAGAAATTACCCACCTACTTCCCTTGAAGACTGTGCAGTTACTCCCAAGCCATCATCCCACCCCTATACCTCTTGTCTGGTTTCCCCATGGAAGCTCATTGAGTCTCCTACCTCCATTTCTCCTGCTACAGTTTCACGTCATTTTCTTGGGCTTCAGACCAAGGAAAATGGCCATCAGGTGAATAGCTCTTCTAAATCATGCCAATCATAATTGCTCAGCTGTCAGTGATATACTAAGGGGGCAGGTGAAGAGCCCCACCTCCTTGGAGAAGCACCGAATAAGCAGGAAAATGAAACTCTCTAAGACCGGACTGATTCAAGGGAGCTGGAGGGTGAGGTGGACTTCGGTTAGAGCAGGGTGTGGCTCGTTTGTTCACCGGGAGGAGGAGAACTTTGCTATCAATCTGAGAGATGAGTCACTGAATGAAGACCCCTGGAGCCCCAGCTTACAGACCCTCCTCGACCCAGGTAGCATAGAGTCAGAACCTCAGCATCCACTCATGAAGCTGAAATGGCCTCTGTCCACCCCTCTGCTCTCCAACACCTGTCTGGTCAGGCTGCGCGCCTCACAAATTCTAGTTCAGTCCACAGGAAGTATGGGAGCCAATTGAAGTTTTCAAAGCTCAGAAGCTCTTGTTGAAAACTTGACCCCCTAAGCTCCCCCTTTAATCCCACGTTACCACTGTCTGGTGTGGAGTGCCACTGAAGCATGGCTTCCTTTGGAGCCACTGTCTCCTGATTGCTTCTCAAAGGAGACAGGTCAGTTTTCTCCATCCCTAGAATTTCAAGGGAACCAGTGGCGTGGCTACCTTGCTAACTTCAAGGGGTACTCCCTGCCCGTGACTGACCCAAGAGCTTAAAACATGCCTGTCTGTGGGTACTCTTTGTTGCCCACCCTCTATCTCTTATGGGGCCCTGCTGGTGTAGTGGTTATGTGTTGGGCTGTTATCCACGTGGTTGGCAGTTTGAAACCACCAGCAGCTCTGTCAGAGAGAGACTGGGCTTTCTACTCCCGTAACCAGTCACGGTCTTGGAAACCCGCAGGGGTTGCGATGAGTCAGCATGGACTCGATGGCAGTGACTTTTTATCTGTTTCTTGTCCTTGGTTCTCCACAAGGTCATCCTCCTTCTTCATGGAAGCCGAAGGTGCCAAGAGCAGAAACATCTCCCTCTCCTGTGCTCTGCTGTCTTCATGGCGGTTCTAAGGACGGCGTAGAATCCAACACATCTCGTGACCTTTGCTCTTGCCATCTAGCCCAGTTGGCCCTCTCTGGGTCTGGTCAGAATCCAGGTTTCATCACCTAAGATCACAAATCCAGACACACTCACTCACACACGCACACACACTCACATCTCCCCAAACTACTCGGCCTCATCTGCTCTTCAACCACTAGCCTTTGACATCTTTACATCATACGTTTCTGTTAGGTTGTGCAGGATAACATGAGGAATCGAAATGTAGAGAGAGGAGGTAACCAGCCCAAGGCCACAGAAGAGTAAACATGTGGCCAGGAGTCAGATATGGACATCTATCATCCTCGCTTCCATGCTTCCAAAAACCAAACCAGACTCACTGCTGTCGGGTTAACTCAACTCGTAGTGACTCTACAGGACAAGGTAGAACTGCCCGGGATGTCTGAGACTGTGACTCTTGATGAGAGTAGAAAAGCCCATGCGTCTCCCAAGGAGTGCCTGGTATTTCGACCTGACGACGTTCCGTTTTGCAGCCCAACGTGTAACCACTCTGCCACCAGGGCTCCTTAGCATCCATGCTTTAATAACCACAAAATATCATCTTACTTCACTTCTTTCCTTGTCCCTAGAAAAATTCACTGAGGATGTGTTGAAAGGACAGCTGGGGGGATGGATAGACAGGATTGCACCGCTTCAGAACACAGACTCTAGACGTAAGTTCTACTGAAGTTATTAAAGTACTTTTCTTTATTTTCCCCCACCTGGCCTTTGAGCAACTTGCAATCAGAGACCATTGCTAAAGAATGATCCATTTAAAAAACAACCAGTCACTGCCGTCAAGTTGATCCTGACTCATAATGACCCTATAGGATAGAATAAGGCCTCTGCTTAGGGTGTCTGGAACTGTAAATCCTTTTGGGAGCAGACAGCCTGACTTTTCTCCATTATACTTCTGACCTTTTGGTTAGCAGCCCAATGCCTAAGCCACAGCGCCACCAGGGTCCCTTAACCCAAACATGAAAGCAACAACCCCAAACTCACTACCATCGAGTCGACCCTACAGAACAGGGTAGCACTGCTGTGGGGAGACAGGAACTCTCATCCAGTGCTGGTGGACCTGTAGGTATGTACAGCCACAATGTAAATCGATTTAGTGATTTCTAAAACAGATGGAAATTGAGCTACCATATGACTCAGCAATCCCCCTACTGGGCATATACCCAGAAGAGGCAAGAAACAAATCATGGCCAGACATCTGTGCTCCAATGTTCATTACGGCACAGTTCCCAATTGTAAGGAGTGGGAAGCAACCCGAATTTCCATCAACTGATGAGTGGATTAAAAAGCTGTGGTTCGACTCACTGACTCACCCTCTCACTCACTCTATCACTCTCTCACTCACTCACTCTCTCACACTCTCACTCACTCACTCTCTCATACTCTCACTTACTCACTCTCTCACTCACTGACTCACTCTCTCACTCTGTAATTCACAGAAGAAAAAAAATAAATTAAAAAAAAAAGCTGTGGTTCATGTATGGATTGTGATAAGAGTTGTATGAGCCCCTAATAAAATGATTTTTTTAAAAAGAAGATAAAATACAAAAAAAAAAGCTGTGGTTCATACATACAATGGAGTACTATGCATCGCTAAAAAGCAGAGATGAATGTATGAAGCACATCGCTGCATGGGAAGAACTGGAGGAAATCATCCTAAGCGAAGTAAGTCAAGCACAAAAGGACAAGTACAGCATGAGTCCGCTGAGGTAAGCTTTAAAAAATAAAATGCAAAAAGGGCTTAGGGAAAAAGCTAGCATATACAAACATTCCTGGGGTGAGGACCAGGTAGTATGGCAATGTACTAGTCTGGGTACTTTGGAGAAACAAATCCACGGCGACTCATGTATAAGAGAGAGTTTTATGTAAAGAAAAGGTGCATCACCAAAACATCCCAACCCAATGCTGCCCAAGCCCACAAGTCCAACAGTAACCCATTAACCCAACACCAGTCCACAAAGTCCTCCACCTCACAAAACAGAGGCAATGATGCCGACTGCAGGAGGAAAGCTGAGTCCGTGAACGTGTAAGCATCTCAGCACTGGCAAGGGTCTCCACACGGCTGCTCCAGCACCCAGGGCTGCATCGGGATAGATCCATGCGGCTTCTCCTTGGGGATGTCTTGGAGGAAGTCAATCTTGCAAACTGAAGCAGGGAACTGCTAAGGCAGCTGCACCCGATACAACCATCACAAAACAAGAGACCCGAGAACTAGAAAGGCGAGGCTTCACCACCCATTTATCCCTCCGCCTTTCAACCAGCACCACATGTGATTATCGGCCAGGCTGGCACAATTAACTAACTCATATGGCAAGGGCCAAACCAAATTCAGGGATACATATGGTATCCAACTAAAAAGGGGTGAGGGAGGGAAAGAAAAGAAATGGGTAGCGGGGGCACAGGGCACTAACCCATACAAGGGGAGGTTGTTTATATCTCCACAGGGAAAGAGGGACCAGACTTCAACCCAGTACTCCAAGATGTGAATGCAACATTCCAGCATGGAGTAGGGAACTAGCGGAGAGATCTGAGGGGCCAGCCCCAATCCCAACTACCTGGACACCTGCCCCTCTTCACAGAAGAATTTATTTCAGAGGACAGCACTGAATCTGCAGCTCAGGGAGAGGGACATGTCTGATCAGAGAACACAGGAGCAAATGAAGGAGGAGGAAGAGAGAGTGGAGCATGTCCTGCCCCACCAAGCCTTGAGGATGATATTCCCGCTCAGAGCAGCCAATCCACAGAGAAAACCATATGGCCGGCCCCACTATGAGACATGACATCCCTCACGGACCTATAGCCCTACAGGGGACAACACTGGAGACACAGGGTGGGAATTCCACCCAATCTGATTCCACCACACCGAGGCAAAATACTAAGGGCCTGCAACAGAAAAGCAAGGGGAACAGAGACACGAAGTTCCCAGGGAATACCAAAACTGGAGTTTGGAGCCAGGGCTTGGCCCCCCCATCACACTCAACCGGAAAACACTCCTAAAGGCCAACAAACAGTCCTTGAACTAACTACAAGCTTTTCTTTCTTGTTGTGTTTTGTTTTGGTTTTTGTCATTGGCTTGTTGTTGTTTTGTTTTCTTTTGTTGCTTGGTTTTGCTCTGTCTTGTTTTTGTGCATGTTATTATCGCTGCAAGTCTGTCTAAATAAGATAGGCTGGATGAACATTCTGGAGGAGAAAACAATGAGACCAACAGTTCCGGGGGGACATGGGAGAGGGGGAGGTGGGAGAAAGGAAGTGGTGTTAACAAACCCAGGGACAAGGGAAAAACAAGTGATCCAAATTGGTGGTGAGGACGGTATAGGAAGCCTGGTAGGGAATGACCAAGGGTAATGTAACCAAGAGGAATTACTGAAATCCAAATGAAGGCTGAACATGATAGTGGGACAAGAGGAAAGTAACAGGAAAGAGAGGAAAGAGCTAGGAGGCAAAGGGCATAGATAGGGGTCTAAATAAAGGCATGTACATATATAAATACATTTATATATGAGGATGTGGAAATAGATCTATTTGCATATATTTTTGGTTTAATATTAACGTAGCATATGGACATTGGGTCTCCACTCAAGTACTCCCTCAATGCAAGAATACTTTGTTCTATTAAACTGGCATTCCATGATGCTCACCTTCCAGACATAATAGCTGAAGACAAATGGGTGCAAAAGCAAATGTGGTGAAGAAAGCTGATGGTGTCCAGCTATCAAAAGATATAGCATCTGCGGTCTTAAAGGCTTGAAGGTAAACAAGCGGCCATCTAACTGAGAAGCAACAAAGCCCACATGGAAGAAGCACACCAGCCTATGTGATCATGAGGTGT